AGGGTGGAGATGAGTGGGAATTTTCATGTTAAGCCCATAAGAAGCTTGCTTGGGGAAGAGAATCACTTGAATACAACTTCAAGAATGATTTGTTGAAAGGCAAAGTATCAAACATAAGCCAAGCCAAGCCAAAGCATATGCACATTGAGGCAAATAATATTATAGCTTATTCATATGCCTTTACGCTAACTACCCTGGCTCGTCCAGTACATTGCTAAATTAAAATCCCCCAACGAAAAATGGTGTCGTTTACCAAAGAAGATGAAGGTGGTGGCCATGGCGACAACTTCCTTCCAGCCCTTAGTTTTGATCAAAATAAAACTCTTTCCAATTTATCTTTTAAACCCCATTTTCTTCCATCAATCTATTTCGTTATATTACATGTAATTAATCATATAACTAGTTTGACTGTCAATGTGTTTTTGGTAATGTTGCAAGGTATTAGGTTAGGTTTGATGTATAGTGTGCTTTTTTTTTTAAATGATTTAAATATTATTTTGATTCATTTTAATCTATGTATTTTCAGACTTTTATTTTAAAAAATTTTATTGTGTATATAATTCGTATTAAAGTCTTTTAATTAGGGTCTAAAATAATCACTTGAACTAAAATAAACAAAATTTAAAATACACAAAATAAAATAAATAATACTAATAATTAAACATTCGAAAAAAAAACCCAATACTAGTTAGAATGAGGTTAAATTTCTTTTATTTATTGGATATCTTGTCATTTAAAATAATTACTAATTAACATAGTTCAATATTTTGAAAGGAATCTTTTGCACAGTTTTTCCTTTTGCAAATTGAAGCGAAGGCAAGGCATCTTTCACATTGAATCCAACTTTCTCAATTTAATTTCTATCTATTTTTTTATGTCTCGCCACTCTGTATACAAATACCAATAAATATATTTTCAAGAATTCATAAATATTCAGTGCAAGTAAATAATATCGAGATACATTTATGAACAACTCTTACATATACAACAAATATAGATATCAACTTAACCAGAATTACACCTCAACCCAAATTCCCTTGAACATCAACAGGGAGAAAGAGGTAACAATATGTAACTCAGATTTAACCTGTTTAGAGCAAGAAAGGACCTCAACACTGGATATCTCAATTCATAACTACATTGCCATTGTTCTCATCGATTGCCAATGTAACGAAAAACACAATACTTGATCCCGGATGCTTTTGATGCCAGGCAAGGCTTCCTAGTCCCAGCTTGGGAGGAAAAATTAGATAAGAGCAGACATATTATAAGTTTTTAACATAGGGAAGAAATGATGCAACAGCACCATATTTGACAGCAGACAGATACAAAAATGATCATGCAACTTCCTACAGACAGAATGCCCCTTCCATTGCCTATGCTATAAATAATGTATTCTATAATGCAGGGTAATAACATACATTTCATATTGACGAAGTGACAATGCTTTGTCAACAATTTTCAATCGAATGATTTCAGAATAATAATGAAAGTACCTGACTTTGAGTCCCGAGATAGGGTGGATGGTAGAAGGAACTTGGACACTGTCGTCATCTGGGACATTTCTGGGAAGGCAAGTGCAATGCAGGAAGTCTGAGCACCCACAATTCTTTGGTATAATTATAATCCGACCCCTCTAGAAAACTCCAGTGGACTAGATGGATGTATATGCATGCGAACGTAGCATAGAGCATTAGGAGTCAAAGAGCTGATCCAAGAATGGAAGATCAAATCTGTTATGATTACATATTAACTTCAGATTCCAATTAAGCATTCTTCAATGAATTTGAAATAAAAACCTCCATATCAGAACAACCAATGACTTCACAACTACAAAAACATAAAGTTAACTAGGCTCGAGTGCATATGATGACAAATAAAGTGGCTAACCTTGCAATTGCCAAAGGGTCTCCCAATGATACCACAGATGACCAGTTGCATCAGAATATGATTTATATCTTTAGGAGGCCCCATTTGGTCCCTGCATAAATAATTACTTCATCGAGTCAGATCTTGCATCATTCTTCTACCAGAAAGTTCCTTTTGGCAGCGTTCAAAGATATGAGAATTTATGGGTATAAATACTAGCAAATATGGGTTGTGACTTGTGTTGAGAAAACATGTAAGTTGGTTTTGACAAGTTCTTTTAACATCCCTCTTCATCCCAAATAGAACCACTAATTAGTTCAATGTAGCTACCCTATCTAGAGAAGCAAAAGTACTTTCTGTAATCAAATAACATTGAAATACGTAGAGGAAGATAAACAAAATTAAGGAGAAAAGGAAGACAAGATAACATAGAGCATACAGGAGTTCTAAAAACTGCTCATGACTTTCAGCAAATTGTTATGCCATTAAGTTCCATGAATAAGGACAAGGGGAAATCCTTCAGGTATTAATTTCTCAATCAATTACAACATTATAATTTCTATTCAACTATGCACCTTCCACGCCAATGTCTCATTAAGCCACTAGGCATCTATTATGCAATAAAAAGTTTTGATTTACAACATTCAGGCTGAGAAAGGTTGCCATAGCTCCATATATTGGATGATGTTGATCCAAACTTAAACCATACAAAATTTATCAACTCAAGTTTTCATAGTGTGAATAATATGCATATAGTATCAAGCAACGCAATATTTTATAATTGGGAGCTACTTCTAAGACATGATAACTGAGACAAGAAAATATGAAGGGATTTAGAGTACAAACTAGTTCCATAGTTAACCAGCATCCCTCGACTGAATGGCATTAATAAGAGTCTCAGATACAAATCTGTCAAGTGTATAGCCCTTCTCCATCATCTGATCCCAGACCTGACAAGCCAAAGAAAATTTCTTTTCTCGTAAAAGTCCTCGAATTATCAGTTTGAAAGTTACCTCGTCAGGATAGCATCCTCTAATTTGCATTTCCTCATATAGTAACATGGCCTCACTAACTTTAAATGATTTGCAAAGCCCATTTATAAGAGCGTTATATGAAACCACATCAGGGGAGATTCCAATCTCTATCATGTCATGAAAGACACCTTGGGCCATCTCAATTTTCCCTGTCTTACACAGGTAATCTACAACCGTTGTATAAAATATGTGATCAGGTAACAAAATTGTCTCTGTCATTCTATGAAGAAGTCTCTTTGCTATATGGGAGCTGCCTTCTCTAAGAAACGCTTTTATAAGAGTTGCAAATGTTCCCACATCCGGAGTGACACCTTTCAGGCCCATTTCCTCAAACAGTTTATATGCTTTTCTAGTATCCAATGCTTTGCATAATGAACCTATCACAGTATTGTACGAAACAGTATCACACAACCCTTTTTCCCTCATCTTATTCATCAATTTATATGCCTTATCCAGCCTGTTAGCCTTGCAAAGACCCTTAAGAAGTTGATTGTAACTGTACACATCAGGCTCCATTCCTATCCTCTCCATTTTCTTCATCGACTTCCCCACTGCCTCTAGCATAAGCCCGTCGCAAAAAAAATTTAGCAAAATATTGTAGGTAACCAAATCTGGCTCGCAACCATTCTTGCTCATAAATGACTTGATGGCCAGTGCCTTGGAGATCCGGCCAGCTCTACAAAACCCACTCATCAAGGAATTATAAATCAAGTTGTTGAACTTCGTCTGATCCTTCATTTCACCAACTGTAAGCTCATAGGCTAAATCAACCTTCCCACCATCGCAAAGCCCAACAACGAGGGCAGTACAGGCTTTCATGTCCGGACTAAGCCCCTTATTAACCATTCGACGCCAAAACTCCACAGCTTTGTCATATTGCTTGGCTTTGCACAATCTATCAACTATTATGGTGTATGATACAACATCAGGTTCCCTTCCTTTCGCAACCATTTCGTTAAAAAATTCTAGAGCCGATTCTAACAAGTTCTCACGGAATAAGAGATTCAAATATATATTAAAAGCCCAAATGTCAGGAAGATAGCCAAGTTTATCCATATCTTCTAAGAGTCTTCCTATGAGCCCGAAATTATTAATTTCACATAAAGCAGAAATGAACCTGGAGTAAGTAAATGGTGAAAGAGAAAAACCTTGGGGTATCATTCTCGAGTAATAGCTTTCGGCCAAATGGAAACGTGAGCGGCTAATCAAAACACCAATGAAGCGGTTGTAGTCTCTGCTAGATACAGGGCAATTCGATTGAGTCATTTCATCGAATATCCGGATGGCTTCATCAATTAGACCAACCTTGACGCACTTGGTGATACTAGCTCGAAAGACGAGGCGATGTGCGCCAAGTCTGTGATACATATCAAAGAAAATGCATGTCAAGAGGATCTACATCGAAACAATGCTGAAGCATTCCAAGAAACTATGGAGGGAAATTTGCAGACGCCGGAAACTGTTTGACTGTTCAGTGAAGCGATGGTGGAGGAACTTGGCGACGGTGAAGACGAAGGTTGATGGTTTGCTTAAGCAATTGATAAAAAATGGGCCTTTTATTTGGGGGGCTTGAGACATTCTATTTGGGCCCAACTTTCGATGCCCAACGGATTGTAGTGGACCAACGGGCTTCAACTTTTTGGGCCCAAGTTGTCATGGTGAATTGTGGTTGACCAATGGGCTTCAACTTTGGGGCCTAAGACATTTTGGTGAGTAATGGATTGCAGTCGACCAATGGGCTCCAACGCGCGGGGCCCAAACAATGAACATAGCGATTTTGTTTCTCATTTTCATCCTTCATTAAAATTAATACATTAAATAAAAACATCTTGTTAAAAATATTCCAAGAAATGGCTCGTTTTTCAGACTTTGAACCATTGAAAATAATAATTAAAAAAAATGGTGTTCCTATTGTTGGGTGTATGGATCATGTTGTCTTATTGACGTTACAGTGACCTAATATTTGAAAAATCAAATCATTCTAGCTATGGACCAAACCTTCAAATAAGGTAGACCGACCTCCCAACACATTAAAATTCAACTTTCTTTTTAGTAACTACATCAAAATTAAACCAACCAAAATCAAACAATAAAAAAGTTCTCAATTTAAAAAGTTTAGGATAAATTACCTTTTTTTTTTTCATTTTAGTCGTTATGTCTATGCTCAATTTTAATTTTTTTCTTACTTAGTAGGTTTTCTTTAAATCCTTTATCTCTATAGTCATAAAGAATCTTTTTAAAAATTAGTAGGCTTTTAATCACTTAAAGGATTAATAGAGGTTGAAGTAATATATAGAAAAGTAAGTTTTGAATTGTGAAATGAGTCAAGAACCAACAAAAGTAATGAGTCAAGATTTTTATAGGATGGCTAAGAAAAAAAAAATTATGACAAGAGAATAAATGTTGTGCAAATAAATATAATATTTAAACATTTAGAAAGTAAAGCGGAAAATAAATAAATTTTATGCAAATAAATATAATATTTAAAAATTTAGAAAAAAGAACAAGAATGAAAGTTTTGTGATAACAAATTCAAAATTCAAATAAATACATATTAAAAACATTGTCATAGTTTATGGAATTTACGAAAATGGTCTTAACTTACAACTATCAAACTAGGATAGTTAGGTCATTTCATTTCCTTTTTTTTTTTTTTAACATAGTCAATGCATTTAATCTATTAGGCCATCTATTCTTACAAGGGTTTTCCCAAAATGGCAAAATGATGGAATTGAGTAAATGAATTCTAATGATTTTTTAAGAGAGGAGATTTGGTCAAACAAAATTCCTTTTTTATATTTGAAATTTGGTATTTTCTCTCTGTCATTTTGGGAAGACCTACCACTACAAGTCACATTTTTCATCCAATATTTCATATCAAAAGAAGGGTAATAAGTTAGAAAATCAAAATTTTTTATACATTTTAAAACTGCATAAGATCTATTCTATTTTTATTTTACATCATCACAATCCATTCTTGTTTCTTTAAAGAATAATTATTCATAACCAAAAAATACAAAATCATGCAAATAATCGTATCTTTTTAGGTTTAACTTTTCTATAAAATTGTATTGAGTATCTAGTTTCACTACGAACACTTACTCTATTAATTAATTTTTCGTTATGTTTAAGTGCGGTTTAACATCAATGTTTTAATTAAAATAATTCGCCATAGAAAATAATTATAATTTGGTTACCATCAACCTATCCACTTGTGAAAAAAGAAATTGATCACAAAACACAAAAGGGACAAAAAGGAAATCCAATGGTATGGCCTACACTGTGTGAAAATTATTATTGTTTTTGGGGACTTCACTCCCAGAAATGATGCCATTCAAAGAAGTAGATTTCTTCCATGGAAAAGTATGCATGGAAAATTCTAAGTTTTTTTTTTTCTTTTTTTGGATGGTCAAAAAACAGCACTAGAAAATAAATGCTCCTAATATTGTATTATTAATCAAATTGTCCAACATCTATTTTTCTAGTTCATTATTATAAGGGGACCATGACTATGAGACTCATTATTCAAACTCATCACATTTTTTTATTTCTTCAATTTAACCTAATTTAGTATATCCATTTCTCAAAAGATATACATGGTGGTATTTAGATATGGGTTTTTTTTTTTTTTTTTACCAAAGTTTTATCTGCAATATAATAAAGTAATGCATTTTTTAGTACGTCACAAATTTTTATATCTTTGACAAAAAATAGTATGGCGTGGTTTTCTTAAACGTGACACATTACTTGCTCGGACTCGCTTTGTATTTTACATTTTGTTATTTTTTGAATTTGAAAATTTGGTACTATAAATGTAAAATACAATTTTTATTATACTATTTTTGTAAATTTCTCTTTCCTTTAGTGTGAAAGCTATTACTCCATGGAAAATAGTCTGGACTTCCCACATACTCTGTATGGGAAAAAATGAGTAAAAATTGTCTCAAATGTGTCTCAATTGACAAAAATTAGTTAGTGTAAAGAAAGCATAGAGAAATTATTATCTATCAACCCCTAATTACGTTGGTAAAGAAAATAAAAAAATTAATATTTACTTTTCAGAAAAGATTAATATTTTAACTCGCATCAAATTCGTACAAAATTAACAAATTTACCCACCCTACCATATTTGTCCAAGTAACCGTCAAGCAGAGGTCGGTAAACATTCTTGACCACCAACCATAGGGCGCCACTTGTCATGCGGTCCAAAGAGAGAGCCATAAAGTTGGGTAAACATAGCATCGCTCTCAACCTGAATTTCTTAATTAATAATAAAAGTTTCATTATTCATTCTCTTCGATTTATTAAAATAAATAAATAAATAAAAAACAATAAATGGCATCACAAGACTTGACATGCATGCATTGTATGACCATCCCACGGCGACGTGGCTCTTTGACTCTCTATCTCTCTCTTGAGAAATTCCACGCCATTGGCTCGGTCCAATTTGTGCGCCTCACACTGAAATGCTTTCTCTCTCTGGTTTGGCCTCGTCTGTTCCAAGTTTCAAAACTCTGCTTCTTTGTATGCAAATTCCGGGTTTGGATTCTTCAAGTAAGGTTATCCAATTTCAAACAGTTTCCTCTGAGTATTGATTTAGTTGACAGCAACTTCTTCTTCGTCCTACTTTTTTAATTTTCTTTTCCTGTTCCATTCGACTGTTCGTCTCTCTGTTTTGAATATTGGGATTGAAACCCATGTCCAGCTATTGTTCAGCGTGGAATTTCATTTACTGGGTCACAATCGTGATTTTTCCTCTTCCCACTTGACTATCTGGATAGCTAATTTAACAGTTCTAGAGGAAGATAAGAGGGAATTCTGGTGGTGGTGGTGGTGTGGGAGGAAGAACATGGTCAAGGGTTTTAGGTGAGGAAAAAAAAAAATGGAAGAAGACTGAATTTCAATACCAGCTACATATGCCCTGTTCCTAATTTTCTGGCTTTTGGTGCTTTTTCCAGGGATAGTCCTCAAATGGGTACGAGTCAAAGAGCTGTTATAGAGTTCTGAGATGTTAGGAGACGAAGAAAAGGGAAGGGGAGGGGGAGGGCTCGCCGGTTGTACTCGGAAGGCGTATTTCCGATCGGCGTCGTGGAGCAACAGGTCTCCAACCAAGCCCAATCATAATCGGAGTTTAGTGCCCAATAGTAACAAAGCTCGATCATGTCTGCCGCCGCTTCAGCCGCTTTCAATCAGCCGCCGGAATATTGAGGAGTGGCCACGGGCGGGTTCTGATGATCTTGGCGTCTGGCCACACCCACAAACTCCGAGAGAAGTTGTTAACAAGGCGTCTCAGAATTCTGAATGTGAACAGCCTGCGAGGGAATTTCAGTTTAAGAAGGATAAGCTTGCCTTCTTTGATAAGGAATGCTCGAAGTTTATGGATCATGTATATCTAGGGAGTGATTCTGTGGCTAAGAATCAAGAAGTTTTGAGGCAGAATGGGATCACCCATGTGCTGAATTGTGTTGGGTTTGTCTGTCCAGAGTACTTCAAGAGTGAGTTTGTGTACAAAACTCTTTGGTTGCAGGATAGTCCCTCGGAGGATATTACTAGTATTCTCTATGATGTGTTTGATTACTTTGAAGATGTTCGTGAACAAGGCGGTCGGGTTTTTGTGCATTGTTGTCAGGGGGTGTCTCGATCGACCGCTCTTGTGATCGCATACCTCATGTGGAAGGAAGGACGGAGCTTTCACGATGCCTTTCAATATGTAAAGGCTGCACGAGGGGTGGCTAATCCGAACTTGGGTTTTGCTTGTCAGTTATTGCAGTGCCAGAAGAGAGTACATGCTGTCCCTGCTAGCCCGAGTTCAATTTTGAGGATGTATCGGATGGCACCACATTCTCCATATGATCCGCTTCATCTTGTACCCAAGATGTTGAACACTCCTGGTGTTCAAGGACTTGATTCACGAGGCGCATTTGTTGTGCACGTTCCTTCTGCTATCTATGTATGGAGCGGGGAAAAGTGCAACTCCATGATGTTGAAGATGGCGAAGGTGGCAGCATCACAGGTCATTCAATATGAAAGGGCAAAAGGCCCCATCCTTAGCATCAAAGAAGGTGCCGAACCATTAGGATTTTGGGATGCTCTTATGAGTAGCCAAAATTTGGCTGATAATTCTGAAGATGGGAAAGCTCAAAAGCTAGATATTTTGTCTACCGCAGAAGATCACATCTCTAAAGTGACAGGTCTAAAGGTAGGCAACCGCAAAGTTGAGGAGTATAATCCAGATTTTGAAATTTTTCATATGGCAATGTCAGGTGGGGTTGTTCCTCCTTTCATTCGATCAAATACGGAAACAGAAAATTACCTTCCTGCTAGAGAAAATGGATGGGACACAGTTAAGAGGACGGTCGGAGACGAAACTACAACCGATATTGTCACATCTTCGGAGCTGGATTGTGATACTACATCATTTGATGATATGGATAAGACTGCAAATATTCATGAAGAAGCACCAACTTCTTCAATTGATCTCGCATCTCCACCACTTTCACCCACAGCCTATTTATGTGGTTCGCCTGACTGTTTCCCAGATAGTAGCCTAGATCAGGAAATATGTAGTTCTGGCAAGGAGGAAAGCTCGATCCCGGATGATCCTTTATCGTTACCAATTCATCCTCCGGGATCACCAGATTCATTTTTCTGTTCCCAAGGAGGTACTAGTCCACAATTTAGCACCAAATCCCCTTTACTCTCACCTTCTACATCTGATAGCTCTAGTTCTTTTACCTTTTCACCATCATCGTCGAATTGGTCGTCTGACTTGTCATATGTGTCTTCTCGGCAACCTTCACCGTCTGACATGGATTCAGTGCATCCGGCTGTTAAAAACTCATCCATAATAGATAATTTTTGTTTACGCCACAAAGAAACTGATCCTTTCATTGTAGAGTCCTTTTCCTCTTACCCTACGTTAAGAACAGGAAACACCAATTTGACATCATCTAGAGGGACCTGCCCATCAATTGCAGAGCGTCGAGGGAGTTATCCTCCACCCAGGATGTTGCTGCCCTCCATTGAAGAAGCCTGCAAGGTTCAGAGGAAAATAGTTCGATCATTGTCATTTTCTTTACCCGACCTAGACGATGATGCATTGGACATATCTGGGTGCAGGCAATCCAAGAATAGAAGCAGTAGTATATACATGAGTTTGGATATTGATAGAATTGGGGCTTGCATTGAAACAGAATGCAAGCTAGCATTAGCAAAAACTCAAGTCTTTTACCAGTGGCCTTCCATGAGTAAAGTAGTTATCAATCAACTTGGAGATCTCAATTCTGGATCAGTGTATATGTTTTTCGCTTCAAATGTCAACCTGGATTCAGACAACTATAACATCTTATTTATCTGGCTGGGGCGTGAAGTTTTGCATGCAAACGATGAGAGTCAACTGATGAGTGACGAGCACCACTGGAAGATGATCGGACATATATTCATTAATCACATGGAAATTCCTAGAGATGCCCAAATACAGGTACGTAAACAGTTATTTCAGTTCTTACTTGATAGAGAATAATATGTTTAACATGGTAGACCAATGGAAGACACTCTTTTGTGTAATTTCTGCTAAGAGGGAAAATGTTATGCTAGAAGCAGAGGCTCTCAAAATTGGATATTTCCTAGGATAAGTAAATTTCCAAATGACACTTCTTCCCCGGTTATTTTTTACTAAAGCAAGTCCATCTGCTTGCATTTCTCAAAATATTGAGGCATCGTGGAGTGTGAAACCTAAAACCTTTCGTCAAGAAAATATGACCTAGTTGAAGTAGATTTCAGATCGAATGTACAAAGACGAGTTGCTAGATATTGGGATGAATTTGACTCAGGCAGCTAATAGGATTTAATCCTCCAACATAGCTTAATAGATAAATAGTTCATTCACCTTTCAAATTCCATGTTCTCAACAGTTTTGAAAGTATGCAATCATCTCATCTCATTTGTAGCATATGGTGTGTGCACAGATAATAAGAGAAGGGGAGGAGCCAGAGGAGTTCCTTGAGATTCTAAGCCGTTCATTACCTCAAAAAACAGAAGATGATGATCTGTTGTCTGTGAAGACCTGATGGACTGTGACGGTAAGTCTTCTAAAATGTAAAACTGGCATCCAGGGCAGAACTGATGCTATCTGCTTGTGTGATGTATATATATACAGAGAGAATCCAATCCTCCAAAGATCATGTATAGACAAAGACGCCATCAATAGTCTGAATTTTACCGAGTAATCATCAATGAGTTCACCTGCTTTTAAAGAAACATAGAAGTGAGAGAAAAAGTTCAAATATTGAATGAGAATCTTATATCAATTAGACTACCGATTTAGTCCTGTTATTGAAGTAAATCTTCAGATTCTTTATGCTTAAAAACACTGGATGCGATAAATTCATAGCCAAAAACCATTTAAATAGTTGCTCAAACTATAAAAATTCAAGCTACCCAAATTTCCGTGCATAGGAAATTTGAGAGCTGCTTTCCATTGTGATAAAACTACAGATAACATCCATTGAAGCTGTGTCGTCAACAGTTTATATAGACTTGCTGTGCAGGACGTACTGGTTGGTCTGGCATGCAATACTACAAAATTTATCTTGTCACCCAAATCCGAGACTTCAAAACATGTCTCTTCCAAAGATCGCAAATGACTGAACTTGACGAAGTCAGCACCACCACAGAAAACTAGTACCTACAGATTCCAACCTATACAACTTTGACAAGAGCATGTCTTCTTGGCAGCGATATACATGGACGTTGATTGGACCCAGGATATTTTCTTAAAGTTCATTCTGAGCTCTTAATAGAGCCATTACTGGACCAAGGGCGCTGCCTCTTAGTCCCCTATGGGACCATGACCTCCGTCCTGAACTCTCTTCTTGGTTCCAACCATCATTCTGAGAAAGCTCGGCTTTCTTTGCACTCAGAGCCTCACTGATTTCATCCCACGCACTTACTTTCCCATTACCTGAAGACCAACATAAAATTGCCCATTAAAACTTAACCAGCTCCCTGATACACTATTCCTAGTATGGATAGAAACTATAGTTAAACCTTGTTTGGCATTGTTGGCGTCCCCATTGTTATGGATGGGCATGGAACTTTCTGCAGTTTGATTAACAGAAGTGATTTCCTTGTTAACCGCAGCTTTTGAAGAATCCAAGTTTCCTTGCTTGATAAGCCGAAGATCAACAAGAGAGGCAAAATCTATCTGTTGAAGATCTCCATTTGTCAGTTCATTGCAATCAAGGATAAGCAGCAGATTAGCATGCTTAAACGAATATTTACTTGAAATAAAAATACCATTGCTTATACAGAACACGGGTGAACGGAAACTGTAGCTCAATTGTACATTTTAAAAAATACTTTGACTATGTGACAAATTGAAGGGAAAAAATGATTTGGATAATGGTGAAACCAAATATTATGCTTGGCACTAGTACCTTCAAAGAGCCATCTTCCCCATATGGGGTTGTATCTGATTGTGAGGCAGAATCCTCGTCTATCTCCTTTTTGAAAGATAATGGGTATTCCGGAACTGGTATTAGCATAATTCGATTGGATTCAATGTCATACCATGATACTTTTCCAACCTGGAATAAGAAAAAGAACTGGAATAACATCTTGACTGTGAAAACAAGAAACCAGACAGAAAATTACAATCAAGAAGAATTTTACTCGGAAGGAGGAAATCTCAGGTGTCCAGGTTGACGATAACTCAATCAAACGATATGCAACTAAATCACCTTCCTGCAATAAATAAAACATAAATTATAATAGAAAAGATTAATACTAAAATAACACCTGTTATATTGTTTTTTATAAATATAGTATTCAATTATTAATTGATTTGACACGCCATATGACAGTTAATCCTATTATAATGATCCTATTCAATAAAGAATCAAATTGTTCTTATTCAATAAACAATAAACAATAAATCATAATCATATAAAAAATAAAATGGCACTATATATCTTAGTTTGATTTTTGCCTATTTTAATCTTTGTACTTCTAAAACGTCCATTTGGTCCTATATTTTTAAAAAGTGACCGTTTTAGTCTTTTCATTATCTTTTTTATCTCATTTTTTTATCACAATTTCAGCACGACTCTAAACTAATTAATTCCTGAAAATGTATCCATAATTTAGTTATTAAAGGGTTTATGTGAAACATATCAAAACAGATGTTTGGAAGGTTAAAAAACTAAAGAGAATAAAAGTGGAAAGTACATGAACCAAAATGAATGAAATTTGAAAGTACATAGGCCAAAGTAGTATTTAAACCTTAATAATATGTCTCACCACTATTAAATTCAATTCAATAATCACCGAAACCATTATATTGCATAGAATCCAATAATTATTAACTAGCTTTGGCTATTTTTGTAACTATGAAAATTAGCTGACTACATAAAATTTTATATAAATTTTCAGACTTATGAAACTGGCCCCTGCCCTAAAGACAAAGTTTACTTTGGAAATGATAAACATAGGAAATTAAATTTAATGAGAACTGTCAACATGAACTGACCATTCCACTTTGCAAGCCAATAATGAGCGACTAAACACATAGTTAAGCAAGCAGATGAAGCTAATTGCGAAAGCCAAACCTGAGGTGAGCCAGTGCATGGTCTAAGTTCATCAAAATTTATGGGACCAACCACAGGTTCCGGAGCTTTAGGTTGCTCAGTTTCAGAAGTAGGCAATTGAAGAGGTTCGCCTGTAAAATTGTTAGAATTATTTCTCTTCCAAGATGGAGTTTTTTCTTTGCCCCATTTTTGACCCTTCTTCTTGTTGGTTATGCCATTCCAATGCAATGTTTCCTAAAGCATAACAAAACAATAATAATTGGCTACTGTGAACTTCAAAAGGTAGCATAAGACATAGGAACAGTGTGGATACCGTGGGGAAATGGTCTTGCTTTTGCTCCCCAGCCTGATCTGCAGCAACTGTAATTATAAAAGAGCAATCAGGGAATTAGTACTTGAGTGATCCATGTTGTAAATATATGAAATCAAACAAATATAACCAGCAAGCCCAGGTAAAACACTCCCCCATCCCCTTTTGAGCCACACAAAATACTGTTCCCACCATTGCACAAGCCATATTGAGTCCAGATTAGAAAGAATCATCAGACCTTTTCCAATTGGCTCAAAGCGAATGTGTCCTGGCTTAACTACCACAGGAACAGTTTCATCGTCCATATCAACATCATCATTTTGACTAGGTCCTTGATCAATACTTGTTTCAAGTAACTGCTGCTGTCGCTGCAAAATATAGGAATCGGGTGACCACACATCAAAACAATAAGGAAACTGTCTCTTCTTCAATAGTAATATGCTTCATAAATACTAATTTTATATGAGAATATTTGTCAGTTTAGGAACGTCATACACATGAAATATATGTATGGTGAGACTGAGTAAGACTCTACACATTAAAAATGATAAAAATAAAAAAATTGACACACGGTAGAATATTCAATAAAAGTGACATTTATACGCCCAGTGCAATATAAAAATATTTGTCATGAAGTACTGCCGTTAGTGGCATCAGTATACCTCTTCATTTTGAGCTTTTTCCCTTAACCAACGCCTTTTTGCCTTCTTACGACGACTACTTCGACTAGGACCCTGACAAGAGAAAAAAAGACACAAGGAAGAGAGATAGAGTAGATGAATAGCAATTCAACAACCAAAACAGAAAAAATGATAAAGACAATTGAATCCTAAATACAAATTTTCTGAAAGAAAGATTTAAACTCCTTGGCATCCTCCCATTACAAAGCATTTCATATCTATCTTTTTTTTTTTTTGATATCCGTGTGTCCGGGCAAGCTTGCATGCATCTCGACTAATCATGGGCCAACCGCCTAACCCTACCACATTTTGTTGACAAGGTAACTCATGCAATTCATATCTATCTATGTTCCCAAGTTCAAACAAGAGGGAATAACCAAGAGGAAATTCTCTTTCATTCTTCCCACTCATCCTACAGCCATACAGATAACCAAAAAAACAAAACAAAACAAAACAAAAAAAAAACAAAATAGAAAAGCCATCCAAACAAACAATATTCTAATATTCTAAATTCCCATAAAAAATAAATGAGTCAGATCTGATATACAGCAGTAAATTTACCGTAATTGGTGATGTAATAATGAAGTATAACTAATGCAAGTTACAGACAGTCGTTGCATACAGAACAGATTATGTTCTTTGATTGCAACCAACATCAGAATTTAAAAATAGGAAAAGCTGCTATTAAAAAATGACGATGATTGATTTCCATATAATGACGATGGTAGTAATAATAAACTTCCATAAATAGAAACCTTTTTACTTTCACTAGCTGTTTTGGACGACTCAACATGTCTCCTGCCAACTCCAAGCTGATCAATCCTGAACAACTATGATCCGTAAGACATTTTTTTAACTAAGCGAGCAGACAAAAAATAAGTCATTATGACATAAAAGGGGTCGAAAATCTATATATCATGTTGTATAATTTATGAGATAGTTATGTTGCAATAGATATAAAAGCAGAAGTAGAGCCTATATGGTGATTTCTCTAACATTAACTATCATATTCAAAAAGGCAATGGTCAAGGAATATAGAAAAGTTTGACAATTTGTCAACAATAATAGATTAATAGTCAAGTATAAAGTCCAGGTACTATTAACGGACCATTTTCAGATCATAGTATTAATGAGATGTTATGAAATAATCATAGGGAAGTCTGAAGTAGGAATTAGGATGGAACTGTCCAAGATGCTGAAAAATTCAATTTTTCAAATCTACTACCAAAGGAATCAGATAAGCAAATTTCCTGAAGGTTGGAATTCATTGCCATTATTATAATAAAGCACCTGTCTGCATTGGCAGTTGACTCAATAGTATTTTTGCTTCTTCCATCAATTTCAGTGGTGTTGGACGTATCTGATTCACATTCACTAGAACTGCTGGAGGAATCGTTTTTGTTGACTAGGACCTTTTGTGGGAGGTTAGACTTGTTAGACTTCAGATGCTTGATTTCTTCATGCTTTTCATTAGCATGCTGAACATCTGCTATGATAGTTGGAAATTCTTCAGTAGGGGAAGATTTATTTTTCTTCCTCCTGTAATTTTTAAATTTGAAATAAGGACCAGAATAAATAAACTGGATGCTATAACTATAAGCATGAAGGAAACTCGGATTTAACCAGATTAAATATGCCAGCTGTAGGAATTAACATTTAAAAGCATGTAGGATGAAACATAGTTAGACAACAAAATATACCACTTCAGCTATGTTAAAGGAGATGGAACATGAGAGTACCACTAAAAAGCAGCATTTTCAAACTGGTTTGACACGAGATAATATATAAAGAACCACAAAGCATGGAAGTATTACTAGAAATCATGATAGCTCCGCAGCCATTTTTATAGGTGCATCAAGCTGACCAAATACCATCTTCTATTCCAGAAAAAGGTATACTCTAGATAATCATATTTTCTCTCAGTGTTGTCAAAAAAAACAAAACAATTTATAAGTTTCCAACAGGCATAAAAACATCAGAGCTGATACAGGCATGATACATACTTTGAGTTACGAATTATCTTTGAAGCTTTTCTTTTCTTGGACACTTTTTTCATGACTGGCGAAGCTTCAACTGGCAAGGTCGCCTTAGGTTTTTCTTCCTCTGATTCACTCTCATAGCCATCAGATTCATTTTCAAACTCCTTGTCAGCCAGAAGCTTCACTCCATTGTCAACAGGCTTCCTCTCCCTGAATTCTTCGGTTACAATCAATCCGTTACCAACCTTGAGATTTATTGCCTTACTTTTTCTCTTCTTCACTCTGGCCAACAAAGAAAGTTTTAATTTCTAGCAAAAAAGTAAATAAAAACAGCGAAATACATACAAGCAAATGTCACCCGCAAACCAACCTGACAATGTCCTTATCCTTCAAGATACAAACCGACTCAAATGGAGGTAAAACAAAGCCATCCATCTACCAAAGACGATCAAAAAAGGTTAGGTAATGTGCCATAACGAAGTATGGAGACAGTGAAAACTAAAGCAAGAGAAGAAAGGGGAAACAATAATTTATTGTTTTCCCCGCGAAAATACTCGTTTCTATAAGCGACTGAAACTTATCGACAGAAAACTTGTAAATATAGCTTAATCAGGGAAGTGCTACTAGCATAACTAATCTCATTCACTTCCACGACCTTCATCCGCAGACAATCCTTCAGTAAGGTAACCTGATGAAAGAGAGATCTTACGGAAAGGATGAGACCGCAGGGGCAAGCATCTTGAAGACGAAAAACAGAAAGGATGTAGGAGGAGAGGTCTGAAATAGTTCGGAGATGAGATTTTAGGACAATCCAGCTCCGGCTCAACCCCTCCTTCGACAGCGACTCGGTCAGTAGGTCCTTGTCTCTGAACAATACTCGTAGTCTCACAGTCTCCATCATGCACCACAGAGAGAAATGGCGGTGAATAACACAGATTGGGAATTGGAACAATGGGGTGCTGCGTGTCGTGTCCACCTTCTTAAACCTCTCTCCGATGTAAGTCCCTCATCAGTCGTCAAGCGGCCACGGGAAGCAGCTCTGTGAAAGACCCCTCGCCCGCCGAGCTTTCAACAAGTAATCCATGGGTGTCAAAATTCCCGGACCTGGCCCATGTTGAATCGATGGTTTTTTTTTTTCTTTTTTTAAACAAAACCTTATTTTTATTTTAAGAATGTAGCACCACTTTTTTTTTTTTTTTTAATACAAAATGCAGCACTAGCACCACCTAAACCTTCGATTTTTTTGTTCTTTGACAATTACTTAAATCTTCGATTAATGGAAAGATTTTTGAAAGCTGAATTATGCTCGAGTTTTATCTCCGAAAAAAAGAAAAGAAAATTAATGCTCAAGTTGGCAATAAATTGGGTGGGTTGTTTGGAATGTAAGTCAATGTTGAAAATATAATTTTAAAGTAAATTTAAATTCAAGATAAATTCCATATTTAAGATATAATATTAATCAGACAAATCATTTTATTAAAATATGATTAAGGACCTTTATATGAATTACTTTATTTAAAAAAAAAAATCCAAACGACATTGGCCCTTTCGCTATCTTCATACAGAAGAGTTCAATACTTACCGTTAATGAATTTATTTTAGTGGAAATTTGTACTCATTACCTTTAGTTAGAAATAAATGACTTAGTTCAAGTTGGCACCATTTTTTTAAATTTTAAAAAGAACAATACAGCAGAAAAATTTAAAAGCGGTCAACACCAGTATCCAAACAATACATCCAATCTGGAAAGTCAGAATGCCACACCCTTGTTTCCTCTTCAAGCACGGTTTGCCTTGCGATTTCATGGGCAAGATTATTTACCTTTCTTCCAATGTTAGAAATTGAAGAAACTCTGGCAGTGAAAGAGTATTTTTTCCACAATCCAATGGGTTTCAATAATATCATTGTCTCCCCTTGTGAGCAGCCTCTAAACCTCCAAGGAGTTTCAAGCTGAATAGAGCAGCTCTTCCCAAATTTTTAAGTAACATTCATTTTTCCAAAGTCAAGTAAACAATAAATTTACCATATGAGCATAGCTAAACTAATTAAGAAACCTATATTTGATTAAAAAACCGTGAGTTGGAATCTCCATCCCACATGTTGGGATACAAACAGATCACAGTGAAAGTTATCCTTCCTTCGTGGGATATAAACAGATCATAGTTATCCTAAAGAACCTACCTGTTCACGTTACGTGATCCATGGATCACAATTTCTGGACAAGTTCTGTGCCTGCAGGGGGTTGCTATTTTTAATATATTCATAATCCGAAGTTCTACAAAAATCCAGCTAAAGTGCATGTAGTAGAAAATGATCAAAGAGGAAGACAATCAATTTGAGAGGGATCCATAATAGGGCGCAGAATTGCTAAAATAAGATAAAACAGAATATCTAATTAGAGCCTTCCTGCTGAATAAAGGCACTTCAATTGCACTTTTAAAAGGTAGCCAGAGTCGAGAGATCCGAAGAAAGAGCTTAGCAACATCTGAATTCAAGTCCAGGAGCAAGTTTCCTGTGAATCTACAATGCATCTTTTTTCCATCAATCTAAATGTCACATGCTTACAGACCCCTGCCACGATTCATACCATAAAGTTGAAGTTAGAGGAAAGTTACATAGAAATGAGGAAAAAACGAAAGGATAATTTCACACTTCCTCCAAAAAGATCACCTTATTACAATCATTTTCATGTTTAATTTGATCAAAGTATAAAATTTCCTCCCTTAAAATTGTAAATAAAGGATAATGCTCAGTTCAAGTTTAGTCCAAATCAGTTTCTCCTCTAGACTTGAGAAAATAATAGGCAAATCTCCATTTTACACCTTCCAAATTAATTTTTCTTCCCACTTACAATGAATAGAGAGATAGTTTGATTATTTTCTTCAGTTGTTTTTCAATATTTTCTTCCAAAAAATGAAAAT